TCTATTACCATGATTTGCGCTTTTTCTAGTCTTTCTTATTGTTTTGGCGAATCGAAAAAATTAACAAGTTTTTTTATTTTTTTTGTTTGAGAGTGGATTTTTTTTAGGGCAAAATTAACAGTTAATTGTAGAGTATGCGCAGTGCATGAAAGCCGAATAACAGAATTCTATAATCGAATGGCTTTTACCATGTTAGCTCCATTGTCTGTAATAGCATATACAATTTTATCTTCAAGATTAAACTCAGCGTATTTGCTTAAAAGAAATTGGTGAATAGCTTCTGCAGTGTGTAGGTATGTTATCTTTTCACAGCATAATAGTACACTACGCAATGACCAAGTAGAAGTTATTCAATGACAAGTAATACTGATATAACCTTAGTTGTTACGTGATGTCCATAGATCAGAAGTAATTGTGGCAGTTTTACAAGTTGATACAATTTCATGCTGAAGAATATCAATATTTCTATGATAATTAAATGCTATTTTATTATTTATTGTTCTTTTAGAAAGAAGACGAATTTTTGAATCAATTTTTGCCATCATATGACGAAATCCTTTCTTTCTTGGTGCTGATAATAGCTTATTATCAAGAATTATTTATTCGACAATGGCTTGGTTTATTTCATCTCGTTTAGTGCCTTTGTATGGGATATTATCCTTAATTAGTTCAGGTAATGTAGTTTGTCTTATTCATTGAGCTTCAGATTTCAATTTTTTATTATCTACAATATTATGTGATTGCAAATGAGCAATCATATTTGATGTCGAGTTATTATGAATATATTCTTTTTCACATTTCTTGTCTCTTCCTTTTTTTTTAATTATAACCTGGCATACGTCCTTATTTCCAATTACTTTAAAATAATCCCACATGAAACTTTTTCTATTATTACTTTTTCTCTTTTTACTCTTTTTTTTAGTGCTAGTTGATACGATTATTGAAGGTATGCTATCACTATTACTTTCACTACCGCTTTTATTTGTGTATACAGTTTTTTGAAAGCTTGAACTACATCCTTCTTGGGAATCTATATTACTAATAATTACTAATAATTTAAATAAGGAACGATATTGAAAGGTTTAGATAATATAATTCAAAAAGGGTACTTAACAGATACATGATTATGAGGTAAGAATATATAATATAAAATAATAAGCATGCAAATACTAAACTAAGCACGAGAATTGATACGATTTATATTTTATTTAATAGTTTTTATGACTGGTAGAATTCTGAAAATTCTGAAAGACTTTATTAAAGTCAAAATGCGCTGTTTAAATATATTTGGTCTTGCTATAGTTTCTTATTAACACCTTGACATATTATTCTATTTTTCATTGATATAGACTTTTTGCTACACATATATTTTCTAATTTTTGATTACTTTAGGCGTTATGAATCAAATATTATCTCATTAACACATTTGAATAGATTCCCTATTTCATAATTCCAATATCGCTATTTCATAAAATAATTAAATAATTTTCTCATTGACAAAGATGCACTTTTTATCGTGCAATCATTTTTTACATACAACTAATGACACGACACATCTTTAACGAATCCTGAAGGCATGCAGACATAGCGACGCATATGCTAATACAATACTAAAAAGGTATAGTATGAATCTACAAAAAGGTGACCATAATACGTAGTAATAAGGGTTTTTATTTCGGGCATAATGATAATTATGTAATTAAGCTAACTATATAAGTATACGTATAAGTAATTATACTAATTCGAGATAACTATACAGGAATAGATATCATATGAAAAAGGAAATAGATAATCTATTTTTTTTTATTGAAATTTTTTTTTTCAAAAGCATTTATTATAGTTGATTATACAGTACAATTGTAGTTGCTTTGGGTTTTTGTCCCAAGCGTAGCGAGGGACTGAATAGG